GTAGTAACGTAGTACTACGAGTAGTACGTACGTACGTAGTAGAGTAGTAGTAGTAGTACGTAGAAGAGAGAGAGAGAGAGAGAGAGAGAGAGAGAGAGAGAGAGAGAGAGAGAGAGGCACTGGTGTGGTGTTCCAATCTTTGACACATAAAGAACCAGACTGAAAAACAACAAATGGAAAGTGATTACCTAACCTTAAGATCTATTACTTATTTATTATTTATTTATTATTTTTAATTTTATTTTTTTGTTTTAATGGCAGGTGGGGCTTGTGGATATGGTACTGCAGTGGAGCAAGCCCCTTTCTCTTCCATGATAGCAGCAGGGAGTCCCCCTCTCTACAAGTCAGGCAAGGGATGTGGTGCTTGTTATCAGGTATCATATCATAGAAAATATACACTTACATAGCTAAAGGGATTTTTTTCTGCACTAAAATTTCACACATCTTCGATTCGAAGAATCACAATTTTACGAAAATAAATTTGATTTTGAGTTCTTAAAGGCCTATATCGAAAAATATACTTATAACTGTTATGTTCGTGCTCCAGAATATAGAGCTAAAGGGATTTTCTCTAAACTAATATTTTGCACATCTTTGATTGGAAATAAGAAATTAAAAAAAAAAAAAAAAAACATGATTTTGAGTTATTCAAGGCCTAAATCTACTGTCATCCAGATAAGTGGTCGGCATCCATTTCAATTGTTAGGCTCATTTTCACCTTTTATTTTGTAACGATTCAATTTTTTTATTTAATTGCCTGAATGAGTTAGGGTCCAACAATCAAGAAACCTGTAAACTCAAAAGCGGTTAAGTTAAATTTATCAAAATGCACCTAAGACATGAACTATTTAAATTTTACCTGTTTTTATTTTATTTTAAAAATCCTTTTAGAATATGAATTATTATGAGTTAGAACTTTAGAAATTAAGTAAAATGTATAAATATATTTAAGTCTGACATATTTTGAAAAATTTTCCTTAATTCCACTTGTATATCCAAAATTTATTGGCATTTTCACCGAAATCTCAGTGTGAACATCTCTAGATTTCTATATTTTTGTTCTAGGTTAGTGGTGAATTTAGGCATAAAAGAAAAGCAACACTATTTTATTGAGGTAGACTTGGCAAAGAATCACTGTTAGTTAAAGAAATGGTAAAATTGTTTATTATTACTTGATTTTCTTTTATTTTGTCTGAGTTATTATATTCATGGACTTTCAAAGCACTTGTTCTATTCGTGGAGAGCCCTGGAGTCCTATTCATAGTCTAAACAGGCGGTGGAAAAATAGAAAAACATAAATAATAGTAAAAAAAAATAAAAGAGCCAATTAGGTAAACACGCAAAAAAAAAAAAATTTAAATTAAATTATAAAAATAGTCGAATTGACTAAAATATTACAGTGAAAGTCGGTTGCTCTAGATTTTTTATTTTTATTTTCAAAATACCCTTCGATATGGGGATACCATCGCTGGACTGATTTTAATTTTCCCTTTTTTCTTAGTTTTCTTCGTTGTGCCCTATGTTTTAGGACAGTAGGCGATCGGTTCGAAGTTCCAATCCTCGGACTGCACATAATGTGGTCGAAGACCACAGTGTAGGCGGTCAGGGATGGAGACCTTGAGTTGTTAACTGGATTGAGTCTAAGCGAGCGGTCCAAAATTTCCATCCTCAGACTGCCAATAATGTGGTATAACACCACAAACTGAGCAGTTCGAAGATCAGACAACTATCCTAAAACATAGAACTCATTGAAGAAAACTAAGAAAAAAAGGAAAATTAAAACCTGTATGGGGATAGTATCTTTGGACCGAAGGGCATTTTGCAAAAAATTTAAATGTCTACAATAACCAATCTTCTTTATAATTTTCAAATCAATTTGACTTTTTTTGCATTTTGCCTCTTTTTTTGTGTGTAGGTGATTGGCTCAATAAAAAATATGTAAAACTAAAATTGTCCAATTTTATTTAGCTCTTGGTAGGTCCGACTGACAAAAAAAATCACCAAGCATTAGTCTTGGATTTAGACAAATTCTTGCCTAAACTTGAATTTTCTATTAATGAGACCAATCAAGGCACCGATTAGAGATCTAACTCATATGGTATAAACAAACCTATTTCTCTCCTCTCTCTCTCTCTAAAAATTAAATAAAACAATTATCTCTCTAAGGGTCGAAGAAAATGTCTCTCTCTAAAATAATACCTAAGCATAAAAGGCTACAACAAAAAAAGTCTGCTAAAATGGTGATACTATATTCTATAGAGAATATGAAAAAGAATAAATGACCTGTATGTGATAATGGGGTGAAATTCACTGAAATATTGGCCGTAAACTTGAAGGTGAAATGTACTAGCAATGAGGCGTGTTCGAAGAATGCAGTGAGGGTGGTGATAACGGATGAGTGCCCTGGGTGTGGTGGTATTCATTTTGATCTGAGTGGGACAGCTTTTGGAGCCATGGCTCTCTCTGGCAAGGAAGAACAGCTTAGGGATGCTGGCCAATTACAAATTTCATATACTAGGTGACTATGCTCTCTCTCTCTCTCTCTCTCTCCAGGGGTGGCAATGAACACGGACCCGACCTGAGTATGGGTATGGGTTCAAAAATTGAACCCGACTGGTCAGGTCTAGGTCTAAATGTTGGATCCGAACACTAAACAAGGTGTCCAAGTCAGGGTCCTACATTATATTTTTGAGTTCCAGTTTATGAAATATATTTAGATATATTTAAATGTATATATATTTTTTAATTTTTTAATTGGGTCCAATCGGGCCCGATCGGCTTTGTCTGGGTCCTATGCCTGCAGCTCTGATTGGCTCTAAGTCCAGGTCTAGATCCCATAATATGTTTTTCGAATATATATTTTCGAATTCAGGACCCAACTTGTTGCCACCCCATGACTCTCTCTTCCCATATTATGAGTTTCTCTTTCTCTCTCTCAATCAAAAGGTTGGTGTGTGCTTGGCCTAGATTTTCCCTATCTCATGTAACATGAGGTAGGTGAAGATATCGGATAGAGTCTTTTTTCTCCCTCTCTATCTCCCTCTGAAAAAACAAATCAAAATAACAGACCCTGTAGGTAAAATAGGGTTTGCTCTTAATATATGCGAATATTACAACAAAAGTCGATCAACCTGATTTTTTTTTTAATTTTCATTGATAGGCAATGCCCAAATGAGTTTGGGGCATTGCCCACACGATTCGAGGTTTGAATCTTCGGACCTCTTAAGTTTTAAGTTATACCAAATACGGTTTGAGGTTATAATCCTACCGCTATAAAAAATATTGATCCTAAAATGGTTATCTTGGACCACCCCACCGAGTAATAAAAACTACACGGTTCCAGAATTGTAACCTCGAACCAGATGTTTAAAAAAAGGCACGATTCGAGAATTTCATCCTCTCATTTGGTATGACAAATGACTTAAAACTTACTGTTGTTATTTGCTCTTATAAGAATAACAAAAGTCTCTTCCCTTTCTCTCTCCAAAAAAGAAACAAGAAAAGATTCAAATCTCTCTCTCTTCCCTCTCCCCCCAATTTTTTTGATCGTTATCCTCCACAGAGTCCCTTGTGAGTACCCCGGGAAAACTATCGCCTTCCATGTCGACTCCGGCTCGAACTCGAACTACTTCGCCGTCGTCGTTGAGTTTGAGGACGGCGATGGAGACCTCAATGCTGTTGCCCTCGCAGAATCCTCCACCTCAACTTATTCCTCGTCCTCCTGGTTAGACCTCACGCAGTCTTGGGGTGCAGACTGGAAGATAGATCCTGGCCGAAAGCTTGAGGCTCCATTCTCCATTCGCCTAACTTCGTCGACTGGGAAAACTATCGTGGCCAACAATGTAATCCCCGCAGGGTGGCAAGCCGATGCGACATATCGCTCCGTGGTGAATTACTAGTGTTTGACTATTTTCCGGCGATTGAGTTTAGCTGGAATTTGTGTGTTGTTTGCTTTTGTTCTTTTCCGGCAAGAGTAACCGGAATATGTTTGTTTTATCCCCCTTTGTGTGACTAGTTTATGTAGGACTGGAACCTGGGTGTATCTAGGCTGTGGAGTTTGGGAGGCCTGAGATGGGCACGACGTCTTGATGTTCACCCGGAGTGTTTAGGAGCTAATAAACAAAACTTGGTTTGAAGTAAGACGTGATTCACAAGAGAAAAACTCTCTCTCTCTCTCTCTCTCTCTCT